GTGTGTGTGTGCGTATATATATATCATCTGTGGACATTTGACAACGATTATTCATTTAAGCTACCAAATAAACCATTCGCAAATTTGCTCTACAATCAATTGATCCTGAATGCTTCTGCGACTAAATTGGCATGAATACACTGTATTAACTCGCCACCTATCTATCACACACCATTGCCTAGTGATTCCTTTCGTCGTTCACTGCTCGTATCGAAAAGGGGAAGCTGCATCAGCTTGCCGCATTAGAAACGATAGCCTCTGTCAGAATATCAGGACCGAACTTCCCACTATTGCTTCCAACAGGTTCGCCTTTTGCCATGCGATCTCCCAACACGCGACAGGCTTCCTGGCAGTCTCGGGCTTTTCCAATACTCTGCAAGACATCGTTCTTTGTCAAGCCGCCCAAACTGCTCGAGGCTCGCACACCCCAACCTTTGGCCTGCAAATAATCAGCAAACATGAACTGGTCTCCCATTAAGGGAGAGATGACCGACGGAATGCCGGCACGCAGAGTGGCGTGAACAACCCCAGCACCGCCATGACTGAACATCATGGAACAGCGAGGGAGAAGCCATGCGTACGGAATACCCGCTACACAGTGAATATTATTCTTGGCCCATGCAGTTAAACTTAGTTTAGCGTGATTTTTGTCGAGTTGGATTGTGTCGAGGACGCTCATCATGGCAGAACCTACTAGTATAGCAGGGCAGTTGGCTTCGTATAAGGCTTCCACAACCAACTCGGCCTTGTCAAAGGGCATAGATCCATAGCCGAAACACGCAGGTCGATCGTCAGCAGCCTTTCTCTTATCTGTCGGCACAGCAACGGTTGTTTGTTTTATTGTGTCTAGAAATGTCACAAGATCTACCGGTGGTTCAAAGCCAGCAGGAATGTAGCTGTCTGCCAGGCTCCCCACGTTGAGCACTTTTGGGCCCGCATCGGAGGGTGCAGCGATCAGATGTGTGGACACGGCGTTGACCATCCAAATATCTATGTTGTTGGATGTTTCGTATCCCATTAGGGCCGGAACCATGTCTTTGGCGAACTCCAAGGGGTGTTCTGGCTTCCTGTAGCCGTCCCAAACCACGAGCGCCTTATCATCGATGGAAAGTAATTTGTCTATATGCACCAGAAGAAAGTCAAACTGGAAGCGTTCCAATTCCAGATACGACTCCACATAATCCGTAGTAGTGTCAGGTGCAGCTTTGCTGTTTGCGTTCACGAGAGCCTTGAGGCATTCGTCATGCTGGCTAAAGTGGGGGAAGTTCTTTGTTGGAACCAACGGTTGTAATTGCACCAGGTAGACTGCGGGAGGCTTTGTTCTTGTTAGTTGTAGCTGTCCGGCCAGCTCCAGGGCCAATTGCCTCGCCAGGGAGGACGCCACTATGGCATCCACACAAGACGTTGCAGTTTCTGTAGCTGTTGCTGGCGTTGGCATTGCGACCGATAGAACGTCTGCCAGACAGGGTAACACGAGCTCTCCCATAATGTCGGTCACAATGCCCAAGAAGTTGACTCGCGGATTGCCGTGACCCGCTCCGGCTTGTGGTGGTTTACGGGCTCCTGCGTATTTATAGAAGTCCATTTGGGTAAACGGAAGTTTATGAAAGCGCACTTTGGGTATTATAGGAACAAGATGAATCAGGTCCATTTGTACAAAGATGTCGATTGTGTCTATCTCAGCGGACTCCGCTAAAGATGCTGCCAGCGAACAGAATGGCTCGGCGTCACCGCGACTGCCGACAGCGACGAAGAGAACACGCATTGTTGCTTGTTTTACTTAGAACCAATGTAGCTCTATTAACATCGTTCTTGCTGTTTATCGACAATATGATAAGAGTTACTTGTTGTTGTTTAAGATGTAACTCGACGACCTGTCGATGTAAAACTGCCTCTCCATCTAGATATGTCATATTTATAGTCAAATTTTTTTAAATACACCAATTTTACTTCCGAGTATTTAAATATGCCCCCCTAAGATCCACTCTCCCCGGCAAAGTATACTGAATGTGATTATTCGAGCACAAAGTATTGTCTTTGTGACGCGCACACAGTTTGTTTCAACTATATATAATCAGCCTGTCAAAAATACACACTTCTGTACGCCTGATATAATCTGGCCGTCTGTCGATAGGATACTACGGCACATACATTATGACTGGCCCAGATCCCAAGCAAGAGCTAGAAGAGCTTTTGTCTCGTCAGCACCAAATAGAAGACACCCTCACCAACCTAGAGCGGCAGATCTATGAGTACGAAGGAAGGTATGTGCGCTGGCAGGCGACAATCAAGAAGCAAAAAAGGTACTCTTCAGACACACAGGGCACATCTCAACATTTTTATCAGTGATCTCATGTCTAATATCATGTCTTTCTACTTTCCTCGATTTATATATCATCCTTGAGATAAAGGATAGTGACAAGACACCCTAGTTGTCTCAAAAGTGGTTGTAGCCTCGGTACACCAACAGAGCGTGTTAGGTGGGCTATTATACCTGGCAATGGCATAATCCTTTTTATTCGAGCGACCACGTATTTTGTACGTACTGTGTTCTGTTATCTCTAGCTTTCTAAATAAGTGTCCTTCATATGCTGCGAATCCACCATGCTTTCCTATACCTACTCACTTTTGCAGCTACCTGGAGGAAACGCAGGTGTACGGCAATCTGTTCCGTGGGTTCGACGGCTTTGCAAGCACGTGAGTTACATAAGTTCATCTATGTTTGCGTGTATCATTAACCATATACTACGCCAGTTAGGGTTTGATGCAAATACGAGGCATTCACCGCTAGTACGTTTCTGATTTTCGTTTACGCACCACACAAGATGGGACTCGACTCAACTGAAATGGCCACTGCTCAAAATAGTAGTCAAGTGTGGAACTCGTATATACTGGTAGTTATCTGTAGCCTCCGCACACGCACGCAGCATCGATGTCTCTTCAGCTTCATATTAAGCGGCGCGTGATCCGATGTAAACTGGCGTGTCCTTTATGTTGAGTGATATCTTTTCGTAGGTGGATGTCAGTCATAACCATGCAAATTGATTTGTTGTTCATGTTGAGCTTTGCCTTTTCTGTGATTGCTTGCATTCATATATCAGCGTGACCCTTAGCAGTGGTTTTTATGTTGCACCAGCCATATTTAGATGCGACTACTCTGTACTGTTATACACTTAGTATCGGTAGTATTAGGGATGTATTCGGCGAAAATTTCACAATCTGGGAGCTTTCAGTTGAGACTTATAACAGAACTGTTCTACAAATGTCTTCCAACAAGATCTAACGCGTAGCTACTTTGGTTCATCGTCCTCAGTGCTACAGTGAGTGAACAGAAGTCGGGACAGATCCGCAAGTGCAAGAGCTCTGATCGTCTTTTCTCGCGCTCTTCATGCACCTCTAATTCGGTAAGTTCGTCGCAGTTGTTTTGGAATGCATGCATGTAGATACTGTCATACTCGTTTTTAATAAATACAACCACGCGTGCTTCATTGGCCTATAATATAACATTTGATCGTAGATTGGATTTCGGCATATTAATATCTATATATATTAAAACAGGCGTTGGAGAGTGTGAATGCTAGTGACACTCAGCGTAACAGCAATAAAAAAGGGGTAAGTCTGAGTCGCATCTGGACTGTGTGTGCAACACAAGCGATCATTTGATATGTTGTCTCATATTTGATGCTCATAACATCATCATGACTGTATTTGTCTGTGATACTCTGGTTTATATTAGTAGTAAATAATCGTTCAACCAAGATAATTTAACAACGGTGTACGCATGCATGGGATAAGTGCAGTCACCTGATCCTGAAAGAATGTGTCATGTGCGGAATCGTCAAAAGGTATTCGCATAAATCTGCAGTCGCAGGTTTTTTCGTCGGACTAAGATTCTAGTAGTGCTACATACGTAGATGCACTGTGTCTTTATAAGTGCACCTCGACTCGATTAGTGGACACACTTTACCTTGTTGGCGTCATATTTCATAATAATTGGATGGCGTATTACCCAGGCAATATATATTTTATATACAATGGATTCGAATCGCTTGGTTATCGGCGTGCATTGCATTCCAGTTTATTTTGGGTGTATTTAAGAGATTGTCGCACATACCGTAGCGCCCATATGCCAGATTTTGACCGTGTACATATCCAATGCTATAACCATCCACTCCTAGGTCACTTGCGAATTCGCGATGGTATTTGAAATTGAACAAGTGTATCAAGCACATCACGAAGTTTGCACTGACCACCTTAGATATGCTTTCTCAACCCGAAGTCAGCATACACACCATATTGCTCTATATATGCATGTATGTATTTCGACAGTGACCTCAATCTGCCCATTGTTTGCGTTTCCACTGAGTGCCGCAATATCTCATGCCGGTCCTTAAAATATATGCAAACAGTCGAGGATTATATTTTTACTTTCATATCTCATTGTAAAGTATGCCTGAATAGAAGACTAGTTACAATCCATCGCTGTGCGATGAGCCGCTCAGTTTCTTTGCTCGCTTGATTTGCCGCATATGGCAATGAACAAGTGGTAGTTGCTTATCCAGTGTTGACTTAAATGTATGATGGACGTGGACACTGCCAATTTAAGTGAGACCAGTGAACACGCCCACGATGCTCCGTTTTAACTATCGGTTTCATAATCATGTTGCCGACTCTTTTTAGGCCAATTTGCTTATCTGACCCCTATTGTAATCGGTAATAGATATAAACTGCTCTCTATGTTTTCTAGATCCAGTGCGTGTGCTTTAGGAGTACCCGTCTATCGTTGCTATAGTTTATTGTAATAATCACGCGTGATAGTGTGAAACCAATACTAACTTAATTTCTCGAATTCCCAATGTCAACTATATTCTTTTGACTATATTTTTAGGATGTCGTCAGTAAAAGCAAAAAATCGGGCCAAAAGCGATCGCACGCCTAAAAATTACAGCTTCTGGTCTGCAAAGGCGGCACCGCGCATGTGAAGCCAAACTGATGAGTGTCGAGTTTCAAAAGGAGCTCCATCAAAATTCTATTAAGATGCGTATAGAGCATGCGATCATAATATGTTCTGATTGGTCATAATCGGGAGGGTTTCAGCGCAGTCGGCTGTGGATGCGAATGAAACTCTTTCTATTCAGCTGAGTGCGCAACCCAAGCGCTGAGTTGACAGCAAATGTTGTATCGACATTCAGCAATGAGAATGGCTGCACGGACGCACCTGTCACTTGTTGATTGGATACTGGGTGTGGATGAATTCGTTTACCGAAGGCTCGCAATATAGTGCCCTGAACGTAAACCGAATTTAGTTCGCTCTCGGTACGGCTAGAGCTGGTGAATGAAGCACCTAGTCTTGGCATTCAAAGCGGATCTTCCGGTCGATTACAGTGCGCATATGACGTATGACGACTATATATCGAATACCCTGAGAGTTGATCGTCCAAGAACGACCTCTAATCCGCAGATCTTACTGCGTAACTATACGAAGCGGTTAATGCGGACCAGATGACTTTTGAAGATGTCTGGAATTCCCCTTATTGGCGTGGTAAGGTCGGTGTACATTCAAGGGCCGGAGCTTTTTCGGGCGGTGTAGTGATATACTACTATGGCGGGAGTGGTTCGGCGTCGCTCATGAATGATAATCTGTGGACTCGCAGGTATTTCGAGATAGGAATTCAAAATTCAATGTCGGCGTATATATTCTCTATCAATTCTACGGCTAGCAAAACAAGACCGATATGCATGATACCAGCGTTGTATATAATTTATTATGAGATGTAAGGGTTTTAAAACCCAAATCAGAAATGATAGTCCCCCGAGTTATACCACTATGTTCACCCGCGTCCAACATGTTCGACGATAGCCTCCGCCCGCTCAGAAACTAACCACGTATTGGAAGGACGTGCGAGTCGCGACGGCAATAAAATCCTATTCCGGCCATGTCAGCCGTAGTTTTGACAAGCAGATTTTCCGTTGTGGTGTTCTCTGGGTGTCTGTTTCCGTGGGGTAGTAATCAATACTCTGCGACCTACGTCACCCCTCGGCACATGGGCTGCAGAGTGAATCTACCTATGACTCGCAGTCGCTTCTCAGTGGACAGGTTGAGACTTTGCTCCAGCCAGTAGTGTAGTATCGTGGCTGCTATCGAGAGCCCGAATAAGAAGGCCGCCAGCTTATTCCATTTGCCTCGGTACTTGTATGGTCCAGCCAAATAAATATCCTCGACTGAGTGACGCCTGACATATGGCTCATACTTCATATGTCGGACATTTGGGAAACGATCTACCATAACAGCTTCATTGATTTGATACTATACACTGCACTATCCATCCTTAAAAGTATAAGCACCTTCAACGGTATACCAGAATATCCTAGAAATACCTCAGATAATGAAGGAATCGCATTTTTGCCCGCCCTCCAGACATACAAACCAGTCAGTGGTCTCGCATCGAACGTCTGAAGGCGAGGGACAAGGACATAGTTTGGGCTCCGCAACACAGAGTTGTGACTTCGGACATACATACGTACAATATCCGCCCATTGTATTGCTTGGGTGACTGTCGGCGTTGATGTAAGTATCAGATTTATCGATTTTGTCCCGCCTATTAGGCCGGGAATGGGAACTTCTCTCGTTTTGTTGCCGATAGTCTACGTATTCATCTTCATAGGCTTGTTCGTAGGTATATTGCTGCTAGTAAACATTAAAATGTGGTACACAATGAGTCTAATTGCCCGGCAGAACATTTCAGGCTTGCTCCGCTAATAAGGGGAACAGTGGGACAAGCATATGAGCTTGTCGTGAATACAAACAGGTAAAAAAGCAAGAAGATGAAGAGAATACAAAGACCTCGTGTGGCCGTGCCAGTATTTTTTTCTATACCAATACAGGTGAAGCACACAAACGTGCTCGCAAATAGAAAACAGAGTCTGAATTCCTACCTGGTCATTGAAAGCCGATTCCCAACCCCCGTAAGTGTCGTATCCCAGCTGCGAAATGAAACGAAATAAAACAATCAGCATAATTAAGTACTAGTTGGCATCACACCCATGTTTCCAACTACACACCAAGAAACTCTATCAATCACCCATACCTGAAAAAATAGCATACCCAACAGTGCAATCACCCATACCTGAAAAAATAGCATACCCAACAGTACAATCACACATACCTTCATCAATATATCATCCATCACCAACCGTCCCCGGGGGTCGTTGTGCAGAAACCAATACAGCCATGTTAGTATGCACATCACACACGCCGCCCCCGCTGCAGCCGCACCAAAGAGCAGCAGTTCCATTACTACGTCTTCATCTTCTTCGTCCTTCTTTTTCCGCGTTTTGGAAGCTTGTGATTTGTGTTTGGATTTTTCTGCACTCATCGTAGGCTTCCTACATATGTCCCCGGTTTGTTTACTAACATCTTTAGCAATAGTGCTCTTTCTCTTGTTACGTTGTTTGTCCTGTGGTGTTATGGGGAAAAAATGGGGGGGGGGGGCGATAAATCCATACTAAATTGTGTCATGTGTATTCAGCGAAATGAGTCTGTATCTCGTGGATACCAAAATAATGCCTGTCAAGATATTTGAACTGTATTAACAATCTCTATTTATTCAAAACCTAAGTACCTAAATATACATATACATTTTCTATATGTGATTTTTTTTGTTGTATAACAAAAATTGTACGAAATGTCACACTGTAAAGACGTATATGTTGGAATATGTCTAATTATAAAGGACGATTAGATGTCAACGAACAGATATAGAGCGTATACATAAACACGCATATGCAGATATATTGAGACTTCATATAGATATATATATATAGATATATAGATATATATATAAATATAT